AGCTCGCTCACACCGAGGACCTATCCACATCATCATTTACCCAGAATGCTTTGTGTGTAAATGTCTCCATCCATGTTAAAATAGTGTTTTTAAAAATGTACAAAACTAAACAGCCTACAGTATTTTTACAGTCTTTATTTTACAGCTAAAATATATGTTTATCAAATAAAGTGTAATGTTATAACTAATCGGGGATCCCTTTAACACCAGTCACAGCTGAAACTAAGTGCTGAACATCATCAAAAAATAAAAAAGAAGATAAAAACAGATAAAATCATTAAAATAAAGTAAAATCAAGTCTCAATTGGGTTGATGGCCAATGAGTTAAGTCTTCAGATGGGTCTTATAAATGGACAATGRGGGGGCCTGTCGGATGATCAATGTTAAGGTGTTCCAGAGCTTAGGGCCACAAACWSAGAAAGCTGTTTCTCCTCTAAGCTTCCTCTTACAGGTGGGAACGGCCAGGAGCAGCTGGTCAGCAGACCTGAGGGACTGAGAGGGAGTGTAACGATGCAGCAGCTCTGTTAAATATGGCAGAGCAAGGCTGCCCTGTAACCTGCCCTGTATATCACTGTTTAGTGTTTATTTTTTAACCACTACCACTTCACTGTAAATAATSTGATGTAGCTCTCATGTTTGATCTTTTCATCGTCTTGTGAACTGCAGTTATTCCTGTGATGGAGCTGAAGCCCAACGCYGGCAGTGACAGAGCATGGGTGTGGAACACATTAGCAGATTATGCTGACGAATGCCCCAAACAGGAACTCCTGGCAATACGCTTTTTAAATGCAGAAAGTAGGTGTTGACACATCACATGTTCTACCTAAAGCTGAATTACGTTGGCTCATACGTTGTATCTGCTTTCCACAGATGCTCAGAAGTTCAAGGTGAAGTTTGATGAGTGCAAGGAGGAGGTCAGAAAAATCCTAGAGAAATCAGGTACATGAAGCGTAAACATTTTTTGGAATATGAAAATAGTATACAAATTAGATTTAAATCTTAACGGGTAATGGTTTATTTATAGTCAATGATGAGACCTATTCTCCTGTCTGATTTGTGCAGGAGTCCAATAAAAGTTGTGTAGTTTGCCACGCTTACCATCTGCTGAGATCCTGTTTTGCTCACTGGCCTYAGGCAGAACTCATTCTCACAGTGCTGTGTTGAGCATTGTGTGATGGGTCAGAACTTAGTGGGCATGCTGTTTATGTAAAGTGGCTGCACAGAGCTGATTCTTGAGCAGCATCTGCTGCTGACTGTGAAAATACAGCCAACATTACAACTGTTGTAATAAAAACTGACCAAGAAAGTCGAAAAGCAGGTTGGTGCCCCTCRATCAGGCAATGTAGATATGTTCCTGCACCGCGTGTTTGGGACAAATTTAAAAACAGCTCTTCTCCTGGGTTACCAGAAGTAATGTCGGATCTTTCTTCTCTAACTGAAAATAAATATCCACTCAGACATAGGGGTGTAAGAAAATATCGATACATTGGAATATTGCGATATTTCATTTCCCGATACTGTATCGATATTCTAAAGCCCTGTATGGATTTTTTATTAAGGTTTAAAATGTCAACTTTCCTGCCAGACGTTCATTTTTATGTTGTAGTTCAGCCTCTGACCACTAGTTGCAGCAGTGAGCCAGCCATTTGGCTCCTCTACATTGTTAAGTGTTGGGTGACCATATTGTAAATTAATATTAAAAACTAAAAGCTGCAAAATATATATTTTCAAACTATTTATTGTCAAATTTAGTCTAATAATTGAAAACATGGATTAAATAAGAAATATGAAACAAGTAAAATAAAACACATACAAAGCAGAACACAGCTAAATGTATCAAAAGTATGTCTGTAATATTAGAATTTTCTGAGACAATGAATTTTGGTTTTTCATTTTTTTGCCCTGTAAGAGGTTTTTATTTAATAGAATTTTTGGACCAAAAATATCGCCTTGCTTACAGTATCGCAATATATCGGGATATATYGTATCGTGACCCYTCTGTCATGATATGTATCGTATCRCCAAATTCTTTCCAATACAGCCCTACTCAGCCAACAGCGCCGTCTTCCCTGATGCTGTTTGCGTGTGGCAGTGGGAGGATTTATCCCCCACAGKTTCCCTTTGAGTATGAATAGTTGATGAAGAWAAGATCGTCTCAGATTACATCGAGCTCCAACTTCTAACAACTTTTTGAAGTGTAGTTGAGCTTTTAGTGGTTGGCACAGTCCAAAAACATGCATTTATTCTTCCCTTGATAAAGACATCTGTCTGTTTAAGTGAAGCTTATTAAATTTAATCTGCATACATGGAACCTCAGCTCCGGTTTAATCGTAATTATTTTAAACTTAAGTAAGCAAAAGTTTGACATTTAAGGCTCCTGACCTGCTCCATAAATAGGTTTGAGAAAATGTTATGTTTAAAATCAAAAACTGTAACGTTAGCATGAAGTATTGAAATCACGCAGACACACTCTGTTCTTGGCTGTACACTCCAGCCTGGGACTTTTTCTGTCTGCTACATGAATACGCAGAACGTRACACTGCTGGTTTTACAAGAAGGCCAGTGCTGATATGTTCTGCTACATTCGTTTCAACATCACAAGTTGATCAGTACTGAGTTTGCTAGTTTAGTTTTGGGTGGAAACATATAAAAAGGTTGTAATATGTTTGGTCCTTAGCTTCTGATTTGATGGCACATTTTATTACTTTAACACAGGTGACRTTGACAGTGCAAATAAGATGGTTGAGAAACTGGGGGAACTATCCGTTAAAGACAAGACATCCGGGGCAAAGAAAGAAGACGTCAAAAAGGAGAACGAGAAGAAAGAAGATGAGAAAAAAGAGGTGAAAGCTGAGGAGAAGAATTAAGAACCAAGAACTTGCTTTGCTGATCTTCAGTTTATTGTTTTTTCCTCTTTTTCTACAAGACTCTAAATGAACTGAATTTGGACACTTGCATATTAGTTTTTTTTTTAAATCTGTTTTGCCTCAAGATTACAAGTCTTTGATGCCACTGGGTGGGTGGGGGATATCAACAAAAGTGTAAATGACACAAAACACAGGACCTCCTGCCCTTTTTCTCCATGCATAATGGAAAACCACGATTTTCCATTCTTGTCATTGAAAGTTACTATTGACAAACTGTGAAGAGGCTTGTGATAGTGATGAATTCCCACATTGGGGTATTTTCTGTTTTGTTTTTGGTTTATTTTGCTATTCTGAAGCAGAGTTAATTTGTAGGGGGTGAGGATAATGTAGCCTGCTCATTAGCAGCACAGGGTCAGGGACCAGGCATAAGGATGGAGTGAAACCCTGCGAGGTGTCTCAGTGGGCCTTCATACCCTGTCCACACTCCTACTGTTAGGTCACAAGTAAGGTGCYGACTTCTCAGTGGGTTCTTTGTAGAGGTAGTTTCTTGGTGCCCTCTTTATGCAGATCTGATGGTAGCTGACTTGAGAGGAATCCACTCCAGACAGTTGAAAAGGCAAGATGCAGGTCAAAATGTTCACTTACAGCTTACTGATGGATCAGATGCACTTCACTAAAAAATATTTCTTTTTTAAGTGTCTCGAAACTAAAAAGCCCAAAGTAAACGGTTCATCAGTTTGGTGTAGCTTTTTCCCCTTCTCACCCGAGTTTCTCACCATGAGATCAGGTTTGCATTTATTTTTTTTAGCTTAACATTCCCAGACTTTAAAGCATGTAGAGTATATGTAACGGAGTGTGCCCCATCTAATTTGTGTGCCTGTCATCCACAACTTTTCTTTTCCACTAAATCAGTTTTCAACCTCGATCCATACGTGCAGCCAAGTGCCAGTGCATCTGTAAATACATGTATATGGATGAAATGTTGCTCTTCATTTGCACTCGGATGATCTGAACTGTTTCCTCCAGCTTCAATAAAAACCTGTCTAAGACCGTTGGGTTTTACGTTCATGTACAAAATCACTTGTTTCCTTGAAGATGAGTTAAAAAGATATTGACTGGTGGTGACTTATGAAGAATAAAACTGATTCACTCAAAGTTGGAAAGTTTTATTTAGTTTGCTCAGTTCACTGGGAATATTTCTTCTTCACAAAAATAGGAACACACATACAGTTAGAATGTCTTCTGTTTTATACATCATTTGTTTCAGAAACGGTCAGGAATGGCCCCTGACCTGCAGTGATATCCATCCTTAAAAAAAGAAACAAACTAATGGCAGTCATCTTAAGGAGGAATGACATCGATTTTCATTTTGAGTTGTGATCCAGCAGATTACAGAGACGCATTGATATCAAAGACGTAGTTTGGTATTTCAAGATGTTCCATTCATTTTTCCCATCACGCCTTTTTATTGCAGCCTTACAACGAACTAAGTAAGGCAGCTGAGTGGAACGCAGGTGTGAAAGGCCAAACCTTTCAAACGGGCAGGTTTTTGTGACACAAAAATGATCCTGATAAATCATTTCAAAACTTCCCACCTTTTAATGTGACAAGTACAGTTCAAGTGAAAAGCAAAAATATATATATTTTTATGAGAAAAGGGGTGAACAGAAGCAGGAAGCTGCTTACAGAAGTGTGCACACCCTTTTTTTAATACAATTTGCAGCTTTCTGGTGTGAAGAAGCTGCCACCAGTTGAAGTGACATTCAGCTGTTCTGGCAGGGTTTTCCTGATGTTTACTCAGTTTCATCCAATGTTAAAATGAACTTTTTGTTAAAAGATATCAGTCAAGGGAAGGAAACATGCTTAATATTAGATATTGGAGGTGTAACTACATTTATCCACTTCAGTATGTCGATTAAATGATTCAGTTAAATCAAGGTAAAACAAAAAACATCGATCCACATAATGACTGATATGGATCGATGTATGCCCGTCTGACACAAGTGATTGTTATGGATATCTGATATTGATCACAGACTTTGTCAATGAATTGAAATCATTTAATGACACTTGGTGATAAACGTTTTGTCCTCAAAACAAAAATGTATCATTATGATAAAGCCGGTAATTTACAGCCCTATTATATTTCCRTTAACAATGTGAAGGCAGTCATCAAGATGTAGAGAAATCATCACCAAAACTGACAGAAACTGGTCAGGGAGGCTGCCACCAGGCCTGCAGCAACAGGAAGCTCCACGTCTGGACAGTGAAGCAGGGTTGCAGGTTATCAGGATTATTTGGTCATAAGTCTGAAAGGTGTATTTGCCACCAAATAAGTAAATCAAAGAAATGCCATACCTCCTGGTACTTTAAAACCTGGTGGCAGCATCACAGTGCAGAGCTGCAGTCAAGGTAGATTAAATAATTAATCTGTTCAGTTTGACCTAAAACCTTCAGGTCTCTGCTAGAAAGCTAAAGATTTGTTTCAGCATGACAGTGACTGAACATACATCCAAATCAACAATAATAAAAATGGCTTCACCAAAGGAAATTCAAAAGTTTTGGGACACTCTCACCAAAGTCTAGATTAAAATCCTAGCAGTTTGACGTATTTTTAGAAGAAACCGAACAAATAAAAATAATCAAAGTGGAAGGATGTAATAAAAATACTTCGAACCAAGTATTAAGTTTAAGCTGTGCACATTTATTTAACCAGCTTGTTGCATTTAAAAAAAAACATTTTTCACCTGCATTTGTTGGTATCAGGTGAAATGTACAAAATCTATGTCACATTAAAAGATTTCAAAATTATTTTTGTGTCACAAAAATCTGGCATTTTGACAGATGTTTTCTATTTACTGTGTGTTGTAAACATCCAAGTCTGACAACAGTGAGACGATCACCATTGCTGTGTGATTTAGAGAAATTAAACAATGGAACACAAAAAATAATAATTTTGTAAATTACAAAATTTAATTTTAAACAAAAACTACATTTTAAGTTCACCCAATCCAAAAGTCACATACTGCTTAATACAAAATACTAATGATATCACATTGTCCCTTAAGTGTATAACAGTGTTTCAGACACACTTTGTTGCGTAAGAAACAACTTTTCTTCTCTAAAGGCAACAATGGTTTTTATTCATAATGCAAATGTGTCGACATAATGCAAATAAATATCACATTTAGCTCGTTCTGTCACTGTCCACTTGTTTTTAACTCTTTATTAAATAGGTAAAATTAGCATGTTTGGACATTTAACAGCCAAAAGRAAAAAAAAACAGTCATTGAATAATACCTGAGCTGTACCAGACAGCTGCTTCAAACTGAGTTTTCACTCAGCGCTGATGTCACCTGTTTCCAGTTCCTGGTAGTGAGTGTGTGTGTAAGAGAGAGAAAAGCACAATCATTGACTTGTATTCAATTGTAACTTTAAAAAAAGGATATTCACTCACCAAAGAGCAACTTTGATGTTTATCTTCATAACTCTAAGTATTCATTACATCACTTCTTTTACACAACATTTATGTAGGTTAGATTAGATTTGTTTACCAAATGTATAATTCATAATTGAGAAAAATCTCAATGTGTAGCATCCATTCCTGGCTTAATGTTTTATAAAAAATAAAAATGTTTTCACTTTTGAGTATGTATGTAAAATAACTAAAACTTGGTTCTTTTTTTGTGTTTTTAACATCACTTTTTTTCCTTCAGATGGTATGATTTTTAAACTTCTTTTTCTCAGGTGTGTGGAGTGTGGGTTTAGCAAGGCTGCACTTGTTTAGGAGAAATACTGAGATGAGGTATTCTGGTCTCCCAGAACAGACCTGTATCAGTCTCACTCTTGTATCGGTCAGAACCTCAGAAAAAAGGTGTGTGGTTCACCACCCCACCGCTCTTTATGAGGGGAATAAAGCCAGAGAGTAAAAGCTTCATTCAAGCCCTAWAAATATGTAATCAACATCAAAGAACACATTAAAAAAAAGTATGAATTCATGTCAACAAGCAGCTCTGCTGGTTGCATTAATTCCTGAGAAAATATATATATTTTTTTTTAAACAAAGATAAATTTAGCCTCTCTTTTCAATATAAAGCTAGCATTTCTCATTGAATTTAAAATGCAACCACCAGACTTGACCAAACAGCTTTCCCCTCCATAACCACGAGCTTCTCTTCTCGCCCCACGTCAGCATCCCTACAGTCATAAACGTCCCTCGCATGTGCCAAAGACAACATGAACAGTACAAGTTCAAGTGAAGCACCTTGAAGTCAGCCGACTCAGGAAGGAGTCTTCTTACCCGTGATGAAGGATGTTGGCGGGCTTTTTTTTTTTTTTTTGTCTCATTTGCCTCTCAGTCTTTACTGGAGTAAACTTTGTTGCAAGTCGTCTGCAACGAAGAGCTGAGAGACACCGACAGTTTTGTTGGACGGTTCAATCCTATAACCAAGACGACGAGTCACAGATTTAAAAYGACACATACAGCAGAGTTTGTGGCGTGATTAACTGACCTCCTCCTCCTTCAGGAGGGGTTCGTACAGGAGCAGTCTGTCTGATCGGAGGGTCAAACGGAAACGACTAAGAGCCCCTTACTGCCTGTGTGAAGAGGGGTTTTTTTTTTTTTGGAGCAGGATGGTGTGGTTAAAGGCAGAGGTGATGTCCTTGTTCACACGGATATTTCATACGTGGTACCTCCTACACCTGTCACCTTTTTGACGTTACTGTGACGACCTGGGCTGAGGGGGGCACCCTGGGTGCTCAGGTGGCAGTCCATCTGCCCATTAACTTTCATGGCCTCTCTGAGTGGAAAGAGAAGAACAAGAGAAAACGATTCAACACACACAAAAAATAAAAAAATTAAAAAACGAGCTGTGGAAACGTGCAGAATACGAGTTTGGATAAACACCGTTTTTCAACGATAAACAGACAACAACCACGTAATTCATTATTTTAATGTTAGTGAAAAACAGGTTTGAGGTTACATGAGAGGGTGAAAAGCATCATGCAGATGAAAAAGAAATGAGTCACACTAATTTAACTGACATTTGTAAAATAATACTAAAAAAAGGATAATTTTCCTAGAAAAGGCAAACATACAAATGTGAAGAGAACATGTGCAGATCCACACCAGACACAACAGATGAATAAATAAACAGAAAAGASCAGTTGAAAACAATATAAAACTGTACAGATGCTACATGTTGCCTCAGACGTAACACACCAGAATAATCAAAGCAGGGTTCCCATTGGGAACACATTCRATGCCCACCAGTTCCCACCAGTTCCCTACAGAGCATGCAGGGTAACGTCACGATTCATACCTTGGGCCCCCTAGCCGAGGCGAGTCTGTCCTCTCGTGAGCACTGATGTAGGAGAGTTTCTGATGAGAGTAGGAGGGGGAGCGGGGCACGGCGGGGGAGCGGGGCTGGTGGGCCGGGGAGCGATAAGAGCCCTCGTGGCCCAGCGCCCTGCTCTGGCTGCTGTTGGTGCTGCTGTGATCCGTGTGCAGGGAGGTGGAGGAAGTCCGAGGGGCGCGGCCCAGAGCGGAGCCTGCGTGCCGTAACACGGGGGTTCTTTGTCCATAGCTCGCCAGCCCGACCCCCATCAGGTTGTCCCTGGAGCCTCCGTAGGCGGGGGGCGTTGGGCCCCTTGAGACGGGGCCACGTGACCCGTCTGGGAAGCACGCAGGGGTGGGTAGACCGTAACCTCCGTCAAACACGCCCGAGTCCTGGGCGTAGATATGGGTGTGGGAGCGCCCGTGCAGCATCTGCCGCTTCTCCCTCTCCTCCATCTCCTTTCGCTCCTGGATGGAGGCCATGATGGTCTGGGAGAGGTTATCGTAGCGCACAGGAGAGGGGTCTCTGTCTCTGAGGTGAGGGGATTGCCTGCCTCTCCCCCTGGGGGGCATCACCGGACTGTAGGTCTGCGCAACTTGTTGCCTGTRCATTTCAGGTTCCCGGAYGTGGCACATTTTGGTGGGCAGGTAGGGTGAATGGAACCCCATGGAGGGCATGCCGCGGTGGGCCGCGCACTCGTTGGCACTGGCTGGAGAGATGCTGGGGTTCAGCAGGCTGTCATAAGACAGGCTGCCGTTTCGGTTGGAGAGGGTGCTGGGCGAGAAGGCTCCCTTGTACGGGGTGGAAGAGACCGTCTGGGGCGGCAGTGCGTGGAGTTGGCCCTTCTCCAGCCGACGGTGACCTTGCTTTAAGCTGAGGGARCGTGAGTTGGTGGGATCAGAGTCCAGCTGATAAGGCGAGGACTGGAAAGTGCGGTGAAGAGGAGCGTTGGCGTACTCGGGCAGGTCCAGGTTTGGCTCCGATTTGTAGTCATGACCGCGCACGCCTTCTTCCATGATGGCTGAGTTCTTTCGTTCATCGGACAGAACAATCTGTGGAGCAAAGCAGTTAGAATATATGAATAAAACCACACTAACCCTTGATATTATACCACAAAAAAGCCTTTTTTCTGACCTTATCTCCAGTGGCGTGGTAGTGGACTTTAGGCATGGTACCAAAGGAGGGCCTGAATTTGTACATGGCTGGAGTGGAGGGGTGGGTTTTTCCAGAAAGAGAACTTTCTACATGGAATGACACACAATATGCAATAATTAAAACAAGATATATGTTAAACATTGCCTAACTAGAGGAGGCGACCCGAGTGAACCCCCTGCAGTTCTGTGAAGTACCAGCAGGCAGCAGTGGAGCTCTGCGGCTGAGCAGGAGGCGTTCACTCCCTGACATAATGCAGCATTCCGCTGCTGATCCTCAGGAGGAAACCTGGTGTTAACACCACTTTACACATTACTGACACTTCATGCTACTGAATGAACCTGCACCCTCAGCTATAAATCACAGTATGCTCCTAATTCCCAGAGATTTTCTCAGTCCTTTCGCTGCACACCACTAGAGGAGAGGCGGCGATTCACTCAGGAATTATTCCACAAATCTGTTGCAGTTTCTGAGCGCAGGACTTGCCTCGTTACCAGAGATCACGCTGGTTCTCTGGCCAGGCGTCAAAAAGACCATCACTGGCCATTTGGAGTAAAAAGTAATGGCTGTCATTACAAGCCAATTCAAAACTGGGACACCGGTGGTCTGCAGAGGAAGTTTGGGGGATGGAAGGGTGGGAGTTGGCCTTGACAATAAAACAGAAATCAGGCTGATGGTGATGATTGTCAGGACAGCAAGGTGAGCTTCAGGTTTCCTACCTTCACTGGAAGTCAGCTGGCCCTTCAGCTGGTTGTACCTTTCAGCCTTGGGTGGCAGCGGCGGCTGAGTTTCTTTGCCGTCCAGACCATCAATGCTGCTTTTGGACTACAGAGAGAAGGCCGGTTAAAGCAAGCAGAACAGGTGGGGGGTGGGGGGGGCACGTTTAACAGAGAGGACCATCTGTTGTTGTTAAGGATGTACTAACAGGTTTCACGCAGAGGGCTGAATAAAGGAAAAGCCAAACGTGATAGCTGCTCTGCGTATGGTTGAATGTGTTCTTTTCTTAGAGGCTAAAGAAGAAAATAAACATTTTGATCATTTAAGCACATCTTAAACAAGCAATTCAAAAATCACGCTGTGCATGTTTCTCAGAGATGTGTGAAAACTCCCACTAAAAATAAAATTCAATTAAAAAGACTTCTAAACACGTAGTATTCAGACCTACCTGGTGCGTCACGTAGTTTTGCGACTAACGTTTCGTGCAACTACTTTTTATAAACATCATTTCTAAAGATAAAAAAAATACTTTGATGTGTCAACTTGGTGCACCTTCCCTTCAAGGTAAAAATACTTTTCTAATATTCACCAAGTCTCCCCTAGCTGCAGAAAAGTGGGTCATCTCTAAATGTGGACATTTAAAAATAATGATTTAGATAAAAAAAAAAGAAATATCTGAAGAAACAGATGTTAGTGACTCACTGGTTGGACTTATCATTCCTCCATATCTGCCATAGTTCCTGCTTTATTTCCTGCACAAGAGGCCATTAAAGGGTAAAATGTTCCCGCACAGCCTCACAGCTTCACTCTGACCTTTGGCGCAAAATTAGTAGTGATTTATTAGACTATTCTCAGTCCAGAGGGATACATGTACCTGATGCAAACAGTTGACTCATAATCTGAATTAACGACTTAAAGGATTGAATATCGTTTTTCATTATCCCATTAGGTCGATCACAGTGTTATTGACCTTTGGTGTCTTTGTCAAATTTTTTCAACAGTAGGAGAGTAGATGAGTTTTTTTAAATGTGATTTTTTTGCGGGGTGGAAGAAATATTCTTATTGCTGATCTTTTGTGGCCTTGGCAGAACATAAAAAATAGAAAACAGGTGCCCAGTCAGCCAACAGAAACAGATGGCTGCCTGAGAACTAAAACCATCAAACCCAAACATTATTCCTTTGCCTTTAAAGTCAGCCAGCGACTTCATATAGACTAAGATTATGTCCTTTCTGGGTCAACAGTTGTCACGTTCCTTATCCTCTGTCTGAGTCATTTGTTTTATGAAGTCAAGAGTCTAAGAATATCCTGCTGGAGCTGAAATGTCTTCAACTCGCTTCAGAAACAGGAAGGAACAAAAAGGATCTCGAGGCTACAAATGAGCGAAAGCTTGAGTGTCGGGAAGCGGCGCTGCTGGAACTGGGAGCTGCTCACCTTGGAGTTGATAATTGTGCTGTGGATTCCGTTGTCGCTGACCTTGATGGTGACTTGCCGGTCTGAGAGGTCAGGTCTGATGAAGGGGGGCTGGATTTTGATGTGGGTTTTTTTCCTGGGATCCAACACATACCTGTAAATGAATGAATGAATGAATGAATGAATGAATGAATGAATGAATGAATGAATTAAATAAATAAATAAATTAAAAAAAAGAATTCCATCTCATGAATGACTAGACTTTTTGAAATGATCTCACATTAGTTTACTGAACTTCATGTTTTGTTTTCAGTCAGTGTTGGYTTTTCACCGAGATAAAGTTCTGAACATGAGGAGTGTTGATTAAAAAGGCCAACCACTGTGAGCTGTTGTAGTTATAAAATCAAGCAATGCATATTACCTGCCTCATTTCATGCAAAAGCCTCAGATTAGGATCATCTTATTTGGAGAAATAAGCATTTTGGTCAAACTTTGACAATAATATTACATGCAATATTAAACAGTCTTTTAAGATCTAATTAGGGTAAGTGTTGTGAATTAATGTCCAACTACTACCACACCTAATGTTGGCTCAATGTCTCTAGAGTTCTCCGATGTACAGACATTTCTGTGTCAGCTTAGGTCAAATTGCTGTGGCGACCATTTTGAATTGGTTTGACTCTAAAGGTGAATCAGTTGTATATATAAATATTTTCTGTCAGAAACGTTCATTGAATTCCATCCTGTAGTTTTTGTGAGATATTTTGTTAATTGGGTTGACTCCATTAGATGTGTTTTTAAACTACAATGTGTTGGGAATGATAATCGGCTGTTGCCACACCAAATTTTAGCTCATTAATTTTAAAAGTGACTGATTTTTTTAAACGTTTTCTAGGGTCCGTTGGCTGTGGAAGCCATGTTGAACTGAGTTAACTCAATAGTGAGTTAGTTGTACTCCAAATGATTACTTTCTGGACATTTCTGTAGTTGATGAAGTATGATGGTGACAGTACAGGTGAAGTAGGAAACTCATCCTGTGCCTTTCAGTGGCATGTGTAGTAGAGAGTTTTACGTTTTAGGACCTAATAAAAATGATCTGATCTTTTATCAGGTTCTAAAATTATTCATAACTAAGTCTGCAAAATGTCACTGCCAGATTTAAACTGATGTTCAGCGTCTCTAGTGTCCACAACAGTCCAGGTCAACATGTTGTGAATGAGTGGTTCAGTAAATCAAATATCTTCCAGCAACAACCTGACAGCAGACGTGAAGAACACAGTGCTTCTCCTCGCTGTGTGTTTTTGTATGAGACTAATTTAAACAGGGTGTAAAACTTCACCGTGTTTCAGTGGCTCTCAGCTTGATTAAAAGCATGTTGACTACCTCTGTTTCCTGTTAACAGAATCAATTCTCTTAGCCACCTGCCTCCCCTCAGGGCTGCGTGCTGCCTTCACGCAGACGTGGACGAACAGTACCGCTGTGCGTTGTCACTGCAGTGACTGGGCGGGGCAACTGCCACTGTGTGAATGTCATAACCTTTGATTGGTCACAAACCTGCTGCGCATACAGAAGCATTCGTCTGCGTTCACGCAGTTCGTAAAGGAAAAAACAAAACATCAGCAGCAGCAGAGTAAAGCATCTTACCTGGGTGCCTGTGGACTACATAAGACATACTCCACGTTGCCACAGCAACCCTTGGTGAAAGGATTTACTCCTCCACGGAACTTGCCCGTCACCTGAAGAACACGATGTCTTGTTTAGAGCCGGCAGCAACGAAAGCACGAGGTCGTGACGCACACTCACTCACTCACTCTCTCTGTCTCTCTCACACACACACACACACACACACACACACACACACACACACA